CATGGCTTATTAGTAATACTTACGCTCAACGTGGAGTTGTAACGAGAACTGACTTTACACTGAACTTAAATGTAAGTTATGTGAAGAGGAAGGGTAATGGAATAAAACAACATTAAACATTTAAGTATATTATTAATTTAATAGAACGTGGCTATAACACTGAGCTAATCGAGAGCGACGCTACGCCGGCGCGGCGCCGGCCATGTCCATACATTGCAATCATTAGATACCTACATATTTATAAATAAATACAAGATCATTCTTCGACGTGCTTAAATAATATTTACATAGAGACGTGAACTTTACACTGCAACGCAACAGAGACTACATCATATATACTCTTATAGGACAGGACACGAAGCACGCCAGTGTACACGACAACGGCCATACCACGACCACCGGCCACGTAACAGTCACCACTCACCACTGACCTATTGTAATTGATGCACATGTACCTACTCATTTATATGAGTATGAGTCACTTATAATAGCAATAAGAGTAGTATTCAACAACTCTGCTACTATTTCTCTAACAAAAAAACAATTTTACATTCTCTTTTTTTTTCATCTCAGCTGCCTTTACACGATTGAACTCATCATTGCCCACAAAACTCATCGCTCGCAATGATGAGTTATTGTTATCCTTTTTTCATCTCTTTCTCGCGTGAATGCGCGCGTATTTCATGTCATTACACAAATGATTTTTTTTTCCAATGACACGTTTCACATTTTATAAATTATCAATAATGCTATAATAATGATGTTGCTCCATAATCAGATGTCGGCCATATTGTAATGACAATTAATTATTTTTTTTAATAATGAACTGTCATTACAAAATGGCCGACATCGGCGCGGAAGCACGACGGACTGCGTGAATGCGCGTGCGCTCTTTCTCGTTCTCTTTGTTTACATTTACGTGCATTCTTTCCTGCGTGTATGACTATTCGCGCGTGAAGGAGCGTATGTGTAAAGGCAAGAATGACAGTATAGGAACCATTATATTAAAATAAAGTGATTCCAGTACGAGTACGGCTCCGATACCGCGCGTAGGAAGTAAAAATTGAAGTGTAGTGATAATTGTACCGAAATCACAACGGCGGGTGGTGTTGTCGTGTTCACTGCCCGCGGCCACTACGCAAATAGACACACCACTAAAAATAATCAACACTAAAGTCTTTGGGCTTTCTTACTTTTTTATATTAGTAAATGAGACTCTTCCATATTCATAATAAAACTCTAAGAGTCATTAAAGTGAAGTGAGCGGGCATCGTAAGGTAGGCAATACGTAATACTTGACGTCTACTTATTATTCACCTGTAATCCATGAAATGGCTTTTGGGTTTATGTAAATAAAACGTGCAGACAAACCCCGAGACAGATTATCGACTACTGTGTGTACTGCCAACATTATAAAACAACAATATGTCACGTGCACACGCATCTCCTTGGTGCTCCACTCCTACTGCAGAGCGACTTTAGATCTTGTTAGATTTTACGTTTACGATTTATTCTTCAAAATTTAGGTTTCAATTTCAAACGTTTCAAAGAATATGGGCCGGCCTCACTTGTGTCATCTAGAGCTCAGACCATTCAGGAAGTCCCTGTTTGATAAACTCTAAGCGTTTCTGTTATTAAACTCATTGCCGAACTAGTATTTCATAGTTGTAATGTTCTCCTTGTTCGGGCAAACATATAATACGGAAACACTGAGACTCCGCAGTCTGCATACGGTAAACCGTGGTTCAGGACCACGTTCTAGCTTGTGGAATAGATAAGATAGTAAACAAGATGAACCATGAGATGGAGCAACCATAACAATATACCACGTGAGGGAGGTTGTTAGTAATGTGGACTGATGACCCCACAGCAACCCACTATCTACCAGGACAGGTTGACGTTCGCGCGGTGTTCCGTGGAAACCATCATAATATATTCCTGGTGAATTTGGGCTAACCGACATGACCTCAGGCTCATTCTATCATCCTCGACTGGTGCCAGCGTAAACCGTTGGCGCAGGCGAATGTAATCTATTATCATCCCTAACAACAAACACGTACCACGTGACACGTGACACGTGACACGTGACACGTGCCGTGCCACGCACTACTACACATCGAGAGAAACATGTAAATAGCATTAGTATTATAGTTCGCAATAGATGCCAACCGAGATTTATAATAGTTAACCTTCTATTTTACAAATATACAATTCATAATATAGCACAAACTCTCAATAACCGCCTTACATGTGACGTGCGAGTGTGTACGTGACCCGAGCCTCCGCCCGCCGCCGACACGGCTCACACCACACACGCGCCTCGTACCACTACTGCTAGAAATCATCTGTCAACAATATATCAATACTGAGGGACAGACGTTTAAATATACCTACTAAACTATACATACCTAGTACCTATATACAGTGGAAAAAACGCACCAGCCCTTGAGATGAATGTTGTGAAGTATAAAAAGTAGCTGCGGTTAACGGCCACAGGTATTTTTTATACCTACTTGGCTACATGTATTTTTTATAATTTAAAATATTTTTAAGTTCATCCTATCATTAAAATCAACTGTATTTGTATTTCACAATAAAGAAATTGAATATATGCAATGAGAAACAATCTCATATAATATTCTCCACGAGAATCGCGTCGGATAATGTTAATATTGTTAACTAGATGCATTATTTTATTCAACTATAATGTTATGCACCTTTTGGACAGTGGGAACCGTTGTCTATATGCATGGGAACTGCACCACGATACATATTTTAATCTTCTTTGGTATATCTTTTCCTCTATATCTATAATACTTAAGTGACTCATTTCGTGGTGAGCCAACGCACGTTTTCCACCGTGTATGTCCTGACTCGACTTAACCGTTCGTCTCTAGATCACAGCGGCGGCCGGGCTCGCCCCAGACACAAGTTGTCTTCACCTATACACTTTGCTTCTAGAAGAAAGTTGTAGTTTCATAAACGCTGGCTTTCCTATAATAAGGCTGAACGCTGAAGACCCTAAACCTGAACTGATATTTCGAAACTAGAAATGTTGCGCCTGGTTTCTTACGTGACACAGGCATCTACTAAAGATATTTTAAAATCTCTGCGGAGATAAAATGATTAACGATTTCTCCGGGATTTCGGGCGGAATTTATTTGTAGATTACAATATATACGTAACACAGATTATCGAGTACTTGGAGCACCAGCACACGGGGCAGACCAACACAGAGGTGTGCATCGGCCGACACCACGCACAGAGTGGGCAATTCTTTGGCTGTGCTCACACCGAGTACTGTTTGCTAAACGAAACATCATCCACAATTCGTACTATTTATTGCATCAAAGATATTTTCTGCAGGCATTCAGATTATGTTCTTACACCGAGCTGATCAATGCCACTCGACCACAATAATTATGTAAAGTGTAACAAGATCTCATAAAGCTAAAAAACCAAATAAGTACTCTGGTTAAAACTTCCATTTCAATCACCAACATAATCTAAGGATATAGCATTCAATACAAAATTAACAAAGAACGGTGAGTTAGCCTAAATAAACCTACGGACACGTGTGTATTTGGCTTACAGTAATGGACTTTCTGCATTTTCTTGAGTCCGGACACTTGTGTTGTGCGTGTGATGAACGAAGTTCTCACAACATAATGACGATAATTTGAAACAAAAACTTGACTCGGTTTCAGTAGCATCCGTCCGCTCACACGTGGAGAGCGACTGGTCGGCCGGCGGACGGACCGGACGCGACTTCAGACGGGCCGGATGGGACCGCAGCTGTCCGCCACATGGTTGCAGTCGATGATGCTGGAATGTGAGGGGGCGCTGGGTGACGGTCCATCTCGCTATTACGCCCAGATCTGTGGGAAAACGTATTATTTTAGATTTTCGTTGTTGTGGATACAGGGAGAGACAGCGAACTGGGGGGGGGAGGGAGACAGAGAGAGAGAGAGAGAGAGAGAGAGAGAGAGAGAGAGAGAGAGAGAGAGAGAGAGAGAGAGAGAGAGAGAGAGAGAGAGAGAGAGAGAGAGAGAGCGCACCCGCAGCGTGGCGTCCCGCGGAGGCGGTCCGCACAGCACGCACACGGGGGGAGGGGAGACAGAGAGAGAGAGAGAGAGAGAGCACGCACCCGCGCGCGTCCCGCGAGCGCGGCCCCGTCCCGCGCCAGCTGCACGCGCGCCACGCGGTGCTCGTGTCCGCACAGCACGCACACGGGGGGGAGGGAGACAGAGAGAGAGAGAGAGAGAGAGAGCACGCACCCGCAGCGTGGCGTCCCAGGAGGCGGTGGCGAGCGCGGCCCCGTCCCGCGCCAGCTGCACGCGCGCCACGCGGTGCTCGTGTCCGCACAGCACGCACACGGGGGGAGGGAGAGAGAGAGAGAGAGAGAGAGAGAGAGAGAGAGAGCGAGCGCGGCCCCGTCCCGCAGCTGCACGCGCGCCACGCGGTGCTCGTGTCCGCACAGCACGCACACGGGGGGAGGGGACAGAGAGAGAGAGAGAGAGAGAGCACGAGCGCGGTCCCCGTCCGCGGCCCCGTCCCGCGCCAGCTGCACGCGCGCCACGCGGTGCTCGTGTCCGCACAGCACGCACACGGGGGGGAGGGAGACAGAGAGAGAGAGAGAGAGAGAGAGAGAGCACGCACCCGCAGCGTGGCGTCCCAGGAGGCGGTGGCGAGCGCGGCCCCGTCCCGCGCCAGCTGCACGCGCGCCACGCGGTGCTCGTGTCCGCACAGCACGCACACGGGGGGGAGGGAGACAGACACAGAGAGAGAGAGAGAGAGAGAGAGAGCACGCACCCGCAGCGTGGCGTCCCAGGAGGCGGTGGCGAGCGCGGCCCCGTCCCGCGCCAGCTGCACGCGCGCCACGCGGTGCTCGTGTGCACAGCACGCGCACCCGCGCGTGGCGTCCCAGGAGGCGGTGCGAGCGCGGCCCCGTCCCGCGCCAGCTTCACGCGCGCCACGCGGTGCTCGTGTCCGCACAGCTCTCACTCGGGGGTGAGTGAGAGAGACAGAGAGAGAGAGAGAGAGAGAGAGAGAGCACGCACCCGCAGCGTGGCGTCCCAGGAGGCGGTGGCGAGCGCGGCCCCGTCCCGCGCCAGCTGCACGCGCGCCACGCGGTGCTCGTGTCCGCACAGCACGCACACGGGGGGGAGGGAGACAGAGAGAGAGAGAGAGAGAGAGAGAGAGAGAGAGAGCCAGCGGTGCTCGTGTCCGCACAGCACGCACACGGGGGGGAGGGAGACAGAGAGAGAGAGAGAGAGAGAGAGAGAGCACGCACCCGCAGCGTGGCGTCCCAGGAGGCGGTGGCGAGCGCGGCCCCGTCCCGCGCCACGCGCGCGCCACGCGGTGCTCGTGTCCACGCACACAGCAGCGTGGCGCACAGCGCGGCCCCGTCCCGCGCCAGGCACGCGCGACGCGGTGCTCGTGTCCGACAGACACAGAGAGAGAGAGAGAGAGAGAGAGAGCACGCACCCGCAGCGTGGCGTCCCAGGAGGCGGTGGCGAGCGCGGCCCCGTCCCGCGCCAGCTGCACGCGCGCCACGCGGTGCTCGTGTCCGCACAGCACGCACACGGGGGGGGGGGAGACAGAGAGAGAGAGAGAGAGAGAGAGCACCCGCGCGCGCGCGAGCGCGGCCCCGTCCCGCGCACGCGCGCCACGCGGTGCTCGTGTCCGCACAGCACGCACACGCGCGCGGCCCGCAGCGCGTCCCAGGCGCACGCCGTGTAGTCGCTGTAGCCGGCGAACAGCAGCCGCCCGCTCACCGACCACTCCACGGAGTTCACGCCGAAGATGATGCTCTCCTTCGTGTACCGCGCCACCTGCCGCAGTATACTCATTCGTACATCCCACTATTGCGACGGAAACCTCATCTTCGAACGAATCATCGAAAGAACATTTATTATTATATTATATTATATTATATTCTATTATATATATACATATATAGACAGTAGACACCGACCTCGCGGTCCGCGCGCAAGTCGAAAAGGCGGCAGCAGGAGTCGTCGGAGCCGGAGGCGAGCGAGTCGCCCGAGGGGTGGTACTTGACGCTGTTGACGTCGGAGAGGTGCGTGTCGAAGGCCTGCACGGCCTGGCCGGTGCGCAGGTCCCACACGAGCACGGAGCGGTCGCAGCCGCCGGACACGAACGTGTCTCCCATGTCGGACGGCGCCAGGTCCAGCGCCATCACGTCGGCCGCGTGCGCCTGGAAGCTCTGCAGCAGCTGGCCCGACTCCACGTCCCAGAGCGCGCACGTGCCGTCGCCGCTGCCCGTCAGTATCTGGCGGTCCGTGTTGGGGAACAGGCAGCACGACATGTAGGACGTGTGCGTGGCCACCGTGCGCTTGCGTGACGCCGGCTCCTCCTCGCCCAGCGGGAACACCGTCACCTTGTTGTCCAGGCCTCTGTGGAGCCGCACCGCGACGCTTCAGGCTACACATTTTACGACATCGACGAGACAAAAATGAACAGTAATATCTGTAAGTCTGAAATTTAAATAAAATATGATGCCTTCTTACCCTGCTGCGACCATGTTCCCGGAGGGTGCATATGCACATGCCATCACCCAAGTGCTAGGCATAGCGATGGTGTGCTCTTTAGTAGCTGTGAAAGCATCCCAAACTATCACCTTACCATCCTGTGTAAAATACAAAATGTCAATTACAATATTTAGAATTTCATTGATGTTACAATACTGTTACAAGAAATGTCTTATTCTTTATCTCTGTAGGAACAGGCCTGCATGAGACAAGTTAACAGAATATCATATACAAACTATATATTAGTTGATTAAACTATTACTTCACTTACATACAGCAGCATTACACATTGTTTTTATGTTATTTAAACTCTACTGGCCTCTTGACTTCAAATGCAAAATATTGATAAAGTCAGTTATTTTCAGAACCACAAAAATCTTTGATTCTGAGGATTATATAATAATAATAATAAAAAGGTCAATAGTTTAGCCAACGCAGCCATACCATTGCTTAGTAGTTAGCTTAGTATGTGGCCTTATGTTCGGTCACACTATCTGGCAAGTAGCCTATTTCATTTTATTTGAAGTTATATTTTTAAAGTATTATGGATAAGGATAACAAATATAGATTATAATTGAACACCCTACACCTGTACAAGTCAGACAGTATTTTTTTTTAATTTTACATTACATAAAGTACAAACAGAAAAACTGGTTGACTGTGCAGTATCACAATATTACTATTGTATTAATTATGAATAAATGCTTTATTGAATAGATGTGATTACCTGTGAGGAGGAGACAATGTGTCGCTTGTCTGGTGACCAGTCCGAGCACAGCACCTTGGCCTGGTGTCCCTTGAGAACTCGCCGCAGCTTCAGGTTGGGGAAGTTTATGGTCTCCAACCGCTCTGCCACACATGACACTGGCACACAAAACACAACTACACAGTTACACAACAACTCCCTCCTACCACATGTAAGCTATGAGGATCATATCATATCATTTATAGACTTCTGTAACACTCACTAGTTCCTCTGACTGACAATAAGGTCAAATTAATGTAGAAACAGAACTCAAAACATGTATGTATCACAAATGACACACACATGTTTATATTGCCGCTCGGACTATTTAGAATCATTCAATGTTAAAATAGATTAAATTAAAATGAGCATCCCTAATGAGAATGTTTTTCTCAAAATAGCTAAATAATAATGTAATAATTAATATTTGTGCTATGTCAACTTGTTATAGAACAATAATACAATCCTGACACTATATTGACAATTAACTGCTTACATATTTTTTTATTATTTTATATGAAAGTAGAGCTCATTGCACCAGATCATTAGTTACATAGCATGTAACTGTACGACTATTAATAAAATCATTTCAATTATTTAATCTTACTGTATTTATATTATATTTATATTGCTACTAAGTACAGTAAGAGCTTTGTACTAACGGGTAACATCGTTGAGCTTCTGCCGTTCCTCCTCCAATTTCTGTTTAAGCGCCTCCGCTTCACGCAACAGTGACTCTAACGTCTCCTCAGGGCTGGCAGCCACCGCTGTGTCCGCCGCCATCCTGCATACAGCCTCGTAACACTCACTGTTCACTGCCAGTTCACTCCCATTTTACCACGGCATTGTAATTAAACAGAGACGCCAGTACATGTCTCCTCCTAGAGGTACTGTTATGCCGATTTTTAACGGCTCGATATTAATTTATTAAAGGATTAGAATTTATGTTTTGAACCTATAAAAAGAGTAAGAAAATATAAACCGTATAGAAATTATTGAATCGATATCACTATTACCAGAAATGTCAAATAAATATATATTTGACATTGACAACAAAGTCAACCGCAACATACCAATCTGTCAGTTATAACACAGATAACATAATATTACATACAGATATCCCATCCCATACAAGAAAATGGTTCCTTCCTAACTCGGGCTATTCTTCGGGCTATTTTATTTCGCCACCGTAGCCGCTAGATGTCGCTAGATCTGAAGCAGGTCGGATTACTAGTGGGTGCTTAGTAACAAAGCATGAAAATAGATGGCAGTGAATTCAGTCTACATGACATCTGTTTTGCAAAGATATGTATATAATAGATATGTAGGCAACTGTATCGTGTACCTCATTAGGGACGATTCAAGATTCAATGTAAATGTGTAGGTATAATATCGTTAGCCGACACTCTGCAGATATGGCTTATGTGCCAATGTATATACCTATTGTGTTATGGTTTATTTTACATTCCATGCCTATTTTTTTTGATATGTTGTAACGCGTCTGCGCTATACGTATAGCCTGATTTTAATACGTTTATACTCGTACGTATCAAAATCGGGATTTTTTATTTTAATCATTATACATATGTATGAGACTGATTTTAGCTACAATTAATTTACTGGTATATACCTCATGTATTCTACGATGTACCCCTCTTTTACCTAATGAGAATTCCGCTATATCTTATATATAAATTTTGTATCACAGTGTTAGTTGCCATATTTCTCCCACATTTTGATGAAATTTGATATGTATACTTCCCAGGTCTGAGGTAGGGTTGTTATCTATTTTTTATACCCCTAAGTCATAGGGGTGGCCTACCCCGAAAAAATATTTTTTTGTATTATGGACAATTTTTTATTTATTTATAATGTTACATTGAAAATACATACACGCCTAAATTTTCACCCGTCTTTCACCAACCCCTATTTTTAATAGCGATATTCTTACAAATATTATAAATGCTAAAGTAACTCAGTCTGTCTGTTTGTCTCGCTTTCACGCCAAAACTACTGAACTGATTTAATTGAAATTTGGTAGACAGATAATGTAGACCCTGAGAAAGGCTACTTTTTAATGCGAAAAAGTATTGAAAGGGGAAATGAAAGGCTATATGAGGATATCGTAATTTTTAAAGTCAGATCTTGTAAGATTAAGTGAACAGGGTCGGTCTAGGTTTTTCATTATTAGAAATGTGTAACGGGGTAACACGTTATTTAGTGCGAAATTGTGTATATTACAATAAAATTTAACGAGAAAATATTATAATGATATCACTGGGACACTCATTGCCTTACTACTATATCGTCCGTTAGTCGCGAACTTTCTGGAAACACGAGAGGCGCTATCCTATTGTCGGTCGGCGCGGTTACCGCGCGTAGATGAGTAGATATACTTAGACGAGTCTACACGGCGCCGCAGCGTAAGTACTTACTATACATACGTAGTATACATATGGGTATTACAAATGTTTTTATTACGAGTAATATTACTCTGTTATCTAAGCAAGTAATGTGTGCTTATTTTGAACTTGATAACATTCTGAATTACTCGTATATCTTTCAATATCTTTAGCGGTATAAACCAGGTTATGTACTACTACTAGTATTGTTAGTGAGGGATAAAGTTGATGAACAAAAATAAAACAATATTCGTATTAAAAATATATTCATCTAATATTTTTGGCATTATTTTTAAGTTTCTTCCAAATATAAGGGGTCTGACATGGGGTGTTATGTACCTACATTAAAAAATACTTTTTGAAATGTATGAAAGAAACGTATTGTATGAAATTTTTGAAATGTGTGAAATGTATGCACCTACATTAAAAGATAATTTTTGAAATGTATGAAAGAAATGTATTGTATGAAATTTTTGAAATGTATGAAATGTAAGGACCTACATTAAAAGATAATTTTTGACATGTATGAAATGTATGAAAGAAATGTATGTACCTACATAAAAAGTTCATTTTTGAAATGTATGAAATGTATGTACCTACATTAAAATATAATTTTTGAAATGTATGAGATGTATGAAAACAATGTATGTACCTACATTAAAAGATATTTTTGACATGTATGAAATGTATGAAAGAAATGTATGTACCTACATTAAAAGATAATTTTTGACATGTATGAAATGTATGAAAGAAATGTTTGTACCTACATTAAAATATAATTTTTGAAATGTATGCACCGTACAATAACAATACACGTTAAACATCATACCACAGAGTCATACGCAAGTTAAAAACAAACTGCTATGATATTAATGAGAAAGGAAAATAAACTTTATGGTATTCGAGTTAGGGTCGATTTCTCTCTTTTTTTAAAACTATTTTAATCTTACCAGTTGCCAGTATTCGAAGACAGCTACGATTCGTACTCGATATTTTAAATTATTATGTAATCGATTTTTCAGTACAAATGTAAATAACCAACGACACTAATAATGTACTACTATATTCCGTTCTTTGAAACGGAATACTGACTTGAAACTGAAAACTTGAAACTTTGAAAAATTTACTGTTCACAACGACTCATTAAAAGCATCATCGAATAATGCGCTGTAATAAAATGCTGTTATCGATTATTAAAAAAATCGATAATACATGTATTTATTTTTAATATGACAACACTTCATACATAAGTATTATTGGAAATAGTATTATTTGCTTGTTCGGCTATTTTTAATTTACTTAAACTTTTTTTATATGTTTAATTTACAATAATAATATATTAAGTGCTTATTATTGGAAAATATAAAAAAGACATTTAATTAGGCCGATACAAATGACAACAATGCCATCTATGAAAGCATTTTGAAAACATTGAGCCCCGTATTAGCACTGATTAAAGTGTAATTAAGTACTGGAAAATAACAAAATGAGTAAATATATGAAAATTACTTTTCTAAACGCATTATTTCATCTTAACATGTATATATATTTTTTTAAAAATGGATTAAACTATTTTGAGAACACAGTTTTGTTTTTTAAAACGTTTGCAAAACTATGAAGAATTCCATCGATACCAATCACGCCATCTATATGCAACTTTTAGCAATAATAATGGCTATTTCCTCATTGAGTGCCACTGGTTATAACATCTGTTATATGTATAAACTTTTTTCTAATTTTTTGTAATTTTGTAATTAGCAAGTCGGTGCCTTTTTTTTATTTATGTGTTTGTTAGATGACTCTGTAGGGCTACGATAGACATATGTCTATTGTGCTCTGGCGCCCTAGACCTGTCAGGTACAAAAATTTAAGGATATTCTTAGAAGCGAAGGTTTTTATCTCTTCAGGATAGAGTGTATCATTTCTAAAGGAGGTATTTCGTTCATGCATTAGTGAGCTACAACTACATAGGATATATAGTAGTATTTCCACTTTATTAATATTTGTTCCACAAATGTGTTATCCTGCTTTTAGCAAGAGTTTTTACGTTTTATCAAACAGTTCTCTTTACGAGACAGATATTTTCGTAAGATTTCATGCACTTTGGTTGCCTTTGGTAGCGCTCTTACAAAATATGTAGAATGGAATAGAAAATTATTTAATCAATAAACTTTATTTAGTATGATCTCAAACTACGCATAGAATATTAGTGTTCTGTGACGCAAGCTGACAGTCTGACAGTTCACTATAATTGTCTGTTCTGCTATTCAAATGCCCTGCAACTTTTAAACCAATTTACGACTTTATCATAGCAACTATCGGAGAATTATAAACATTTATGGCGATATCGCCTTGAAGAATTTTTGAATTTCATGGAAATACTACTGAACAATGGTCTCGTACCTCTGTTCTGTCTGAGTACTGCTTATAACCAATATATACAAAACCTGTGTTGTAACCTATTCAAAATTGTATATTAATGTAATCCACTGTTTAATGTTTTTTTCAATTCAATTTAAATATTAATTATCAATTTAATTGGGCAGAATTAACGCTCAGTGAGACCTTAAAAAACCAAGTGTATTTTTTTTTATTACAGTAGTTGTGAATATTTATTTTTGTTAATTGTTAAAGTAACCGGCTTCGGCATTGACGGTTAATGTTTCTCGAAAAAGAAGAAAATTTCTATCAAATATGATCTAAATCTTTTCTTAATAGTAGAACCCTCTGTAATATATAATACAGTGACAAGTGGGCATCCATGGTTTATACTTTGTTAATTTTCTGTCTTATCCATTTTCTGTTTAATTAATAGTGATGTAAGTACCATGTATTCTGAATTATCTTCATCGTTAATTTGTTTTACTTAAGTACTTGAAATATTTCTTATTGCAGGTCACAACCCCAAAAAGGTAACATACTACAACGGACAATAGACTTAAACTATATGAACAAGAAGTGTTCTAGCTCTTTGAGATGGAGCATTGTGAATGGGGCCGTCCTGTTATTGTTTGTATATGATCTGTGAGTCTATAGTTTCAGTACTATGTGGTTCAACTGCTTGTTGTTGTCATAAAATTAATTATCTATTTACAATTTGTTTTTCTGTATTTTAAAAACTCTAAAAATGTTTCAGTTAATATCGAACATTTGTTGTTGAGTAGGTGCCTAATTGTGTTATGACACCATATATACAGATTATTTCAACACTATCAAATCTATATAGATATTGTTGAATATCCAACCATCTATGTATGTAATTGTTTTACATAATCTGTATAAAATTACCCTGTGTAAAATTAAATAAAATAGGGAAATTATCTGGTGATAATCAGGCAATGTAGTCCCCCTGTGCTGACAGGTATTAATAATACATATGTGTGTGTGTGTGTGTCTGTCTGTCTGTACTAACACACATGTGATATGTATGTACTCCGTTATTAAACAGAATTAAACAATTCATTCAGCATTGGTATTAGCCCAGTATAGTAGGAGTAGTAGTAGCCTAATATCAATAGTTCAGTATGCATCCACTTCTTGTCATTTCTCCATCTTGTTTCACCCAAAAGTTTTAGATATTTATAAAATATTGCTTTTTTGGGTTGATC